CACTATATGAAAAAAAGTGCGAGCATGTATACGCTGTCATGCTTAATCAAACATTTCCTGTACTTTTTGGAAAGAGGATCTCATATCATAATACCTAGCTGTCTTCTCTTCCATAGCTAGTCAGTTATTGGGTAGTTCTTACCTAGATACTAAAACCTAGACCGCATGCTTATTTAGGAAACTTTACGGCCATAAAACAAATTTATGTTGTAATTATTGGTAACTACTCACGTGGTAGGCTGGTCAAGCATCTAGCGGCAGTATCGAGGATAACGTTTTATGTTTCTACTTTCTATTTATGCTACTTTCTATTCTCAGTCCTAGGTGCTCTTGTGTACATTCATCGTCTTCCTCGCAGTGAGCTGTTCCGCGACTCTGTAAAATGTTGTAACTCTCTATTTTTTAGGTAAACATCGAACGCAGTAGGATCGTCACGCATCTCGGCCGTCACTGAGGAGCTTCATATGTACCTACCTCTACCTTTCATGAAGTGTCCTCCTATAGAATCATATACAGGGTGTCCCAGAAGTAAGTACACATTTTTCAATCGTCAATATCTCTCTTCCCGTTGGGTCTTTTCTTGCCAGTTGAGTACCATTCTGTAGAGGAGGCTTCAACATAGATTTACAGTATCGATCGAATAACCGATTGCCCCTTGTTACTGTAGGATTACGGTAAGAACTTCCAGCATATGGAGCCATCGTGAGATACGCCATCTGACGAAAAAATTTTTTCAAAAAATCTGAAAAATCGCATATTAGAATTTTCGCACACTCTGATTCCACTACACAACTTCAAGTGTTTTCAGCTTTTTTGACGGTATAATCACAACTCTGACAAATACTGAGAAATCGGTTATTACGGTTTACCTGGGATAACTTTGAAAAGAAGCATCACGGAAAAGTAAAAGTTTCATATTCGAAATCAGCGGCTTCCACTACCATAGTATAAGAGTTTCTGGTTTGTTTGGTCTTGTTCCGAGGCGGAATATGACTCCCAATGGCTCAAAATTCTTGCCGAGAGTTCCTACAGTAATCCTACAGTAATGAAGAGAGATCGGTGATTCGCTCGAATTTGAAAATCTAAGTTGAAGCCTCCTCTACACAATGGTCCCTAAATGGTGGAAAAAGACACACTAGGAAGAGAGATATTGACGATTGAAAAGTGTGTACTTACTTTTGAGACACCCTGTAGAATCATGATGTAGAACCCCTTTGGAAGGCCTGGTTGGCAATCTTAAGCATCAAGTTGTTCGAAAAGGAAGTGATGCATAACCTTTGGAAGGCCTGGTTGGCAATCTTAAGCATCAAGTTGTTCGAAAAGGAAGTGATGCATAAGCCAGAATCATTGTAGAAATGTTCATGTCTGTCACAACGTAGAAGTATTAATTACTAGGTTATTCTAGCTGTGCACTCAGTAATGTACTGCACGCTGTGATGAGGGTGAATAATTGCTCAAGAAACCAGGAAACGATTCTGCCCATTTTTTATCTATCCTTTCTTGCTTTATTCTGTTAATTTTACAAAGAAAGTTAACCTTATTCACTGAGATGCTATCATTGCGTGTGAAATAGTTTTTTTGCCTTGAAAATAGATAAAATTACTCAATTAATGTGGCAACGATTAGATATTGCACATATGTGATTGTGTAACAAGTTCGTGCGCTTTTTTGGAATAAATATTTTGCGAAGTTTCTGAAAATAAAGCAAGTACAAATATTTACAGCAGAACAAACGCTTTTTGCATATGTGATGATCAGCAATCTGGTTGGATCAAAAAAGCGCACGAAACTGTAAACGGCTCAATACATACATAGCTTGAGAGCAAGAGCTGTACAAAAAATCAAACAAAAAATCAATTGGTTTATTTTTCCGACACAATTTTGCATGTTCTACGGAAAAGTTGTATGCGAACAGTTAAGGTAATTTTTATTTCTCGTGTCTACTGAGAGGCACAGTCATTCTCAACCTTGCAAATCGTGTATCAGTTACCTTAACAAAAATCGCACGAATTTTTTTTGTGATACAAAATGTAGTGTTTGACAAAGTCTAGCGTAACTTCGTTTCCGAGACACTACAGCTGAACCGATAGAACGAAATAATTATAAAAGGAGTGATTTCGGGCTCATGTGAAGAGTTTGCAATCTATGAAATAAGTTAGAAGAAAATTATTTTCCTTTTTCATGCTAGTACGTATACAAAAAACGTAATAAAAGAGAACAAAAAATAAATTCTATTTCACTAATCTGCATAGAAATCAACAATTGCTTACTGATCTCCTACCGCTTACATACGAACTGTTGATAACCAGCCTTACATCACATAGCCATCAATGATGCACGTTATCCAGAAACCATCGGGTATGTCCTGGCATTCCGAGTAGGGAGATATTCATTAGATCGGGTTGGTGCATGTGTGGTCCCCCATAATGAAAGCCCGTCAATGGGGTCATATAACACCCTGGAAGTGTTTCGTCGGTGCGGCGGGTGATGAACGAGAACAACCAACACTTGTCAAAATTCACTTACGCATGACTTCTTCTAATTATCTCCGATGAAAACAGTGATAGAACAGCGTTCGCTTCAGCAGATTACTAATGCCATTCGAATATTTGTGCACATTTCCATGGTATAGAAATTCGTTCCCACGAAAATTTCCGATTTTATCAGAATGGCGGCAATGATTTTCTCTTTGTATCCAAAAAATTGCATGAGACCATGGAGGATTTCGTGCTTGAGATATGCATGGAGCGAGAGTATAGTCTTCAAACTATAGTAAGGGATAAGTTATATAAAAAGCAATGAGAGAAATTCGTAAAATTTCCATATTCTCCTTCATTTCCTATTTTTGCCTTTATTCAAGTCCTAGCCCACTTCGCTTATAATAATTGTTGCGGCTCGGTGGGCTCTGCGCCCCCTCACCTAGTGCTCGACTGCCATGCGTCCAGCTCCTGTCCCCGAAAAACTTCCGCCACTGCGGGTGCGCGCCAGCTCACAATGGCGCGTTACGCCTACACTGCACGGAACAATAAAAAATACATAAATTTACTAAATAAATATACACAAAAATATACGATATAAACAAATATAAATATACTTACCCACGGGGAGAGTTAAGCTCTACCCCGGGCTACCGATGGGGACTCTAACTCACTCACACTCACACACTAGCACACTCACACACTCTCCCGGAATCCAAGGGAGCTACCCACAGGCCGGCCGCGCGCCGCCAAGGCAGCAGCTACGGCACGGCAACACCGACCCCATGATGTTAACCAACAGCATCGAACAAAGCTCCCAACAAATCCTGCGCGACCGAGGCGCTTCGTGATGTTCATCATCCTGGAATTCTATCCTCGCGCGTACATCCAAACAATCCATCAACGATCCATCCAATCGCGCGAGGCACGGGGACGTAGACACGACGGCGATATCGTGGAGACCCAACCAATCAATAATAACGGCGGCACGACGATAATAGTAAGATGGTAAGACGAGAGAAGAGCCGCACTGGCGCGCGTACGCGCTATTTATAGCGGTGGCTGGGGGCGTGCCTACATGGTGTGGTCTCGGAGCGAACAAGGTAGCCGCCGTAAAGCGCGGCGACCGTGCTCACGACCGAGACGCGCGGCAACACGGTGCTCCCGGCCACATGCTGTGAGGAGCGGTCGATCGCGAGCCGCGACACTCCCCCCCCCCCCACAACGAAAGGCATTGGGCGTTGCGAATAGGTGGTTACGTGATAGCACCGTGACCTGGGGCAACTGCCTTAACCTAAAAATTTGGGCGTTGATAGAAAAAAAGAAACATGCGACATCGGTAGCGAGGGAACAAGCAATAACCCGCCCCGTGGTAAAACACAAAAATAAACACAAGACTACAGGCGCTTTGACGCGCAGGTGCCTACTAGAATAAACCGAGGCGCTTAAAGCGCTTACCAAATAAATATGAACAATAGTTAAAAATACTTCTATAGCTACTGAACTATGTACATCGTTTCAGGATAGACGTTTCAGCCCATAGCATCACCATCGTTCCACCTCGCCATCCATCTCGACCAGCGCTGATCTTACCGCGCATCCAACTCGCACTACGCCCCTCGCATCACCAACATCTAACCACTCTAAATGCACTCATACGTTCAACATCGAGGGAGCGTAGTGCCCGAAACAAAACTTACCGTCCTGCAAACCTACATGACGCGCGTCCTGGAACGCACACCCTGAAACAAAGGGAAACCTCCACCCTCTCCTAATTTTAACTTAATTTACAATAAAAAGGCACAAAATGGAGAGATAAACTGAGAGGGTGTTGGCTTCCAGATGAAGAAAGTACTACGTCTTTCCAGAAACATCCCCGATTTCGTGCGTCTAGCACCCGTCCGGACCGAATTGGACGAAGGTCCAGCCTCCCGCCGAGGACAAAATGCCTCGACGAGGGGATCGACCCCGCAACTCAAGGAACTGGAGGTGCAGCACTGTGGGTCTGTTCAAGGAAAGACGGCCCAACCCATAGAGCAGATGTTACAGGAGCCTGGTGGACTGCTCGCAATGGCTCTATGGTCGGGACTTAGGCAATGAGACGGCGCGTCCGAGGACGGCTACAACTTCCTAAAGTAGACTATACCGCTAAGCTGCTCGACCAAGTAGCAACAATGAACAAGTTAGAAAATTTAGCGGTAAATTTAATTGGTGTTGACGCGCTACTACAATAGGAAGTATGGCTACGGAGCTGATGATTGACTAAAATGTTACGCGGGACTTTACATGGCGCGACAGATGTTAACGCGCTCCACAAGTGCGCCAGATGATGTTAGCTAGTGGGTTAACTAGCACGACAGATGTTACGCGGTAAGTAGGCAAAGTATAAAAATGAATTTTAGAGGCGCGACAGTCGCAAAAATGTTAAGGTGTAAAAGGAATTGACTGACGCGCAGATACAAAACGTTAGTAAATTTAGAAATGTAAACTGTAAAAAAGGAAAATTCAAAACAAAATTCGAAATTAGTGTTGCCTACTAGTACCGTTCGAGTCCGTAGTATCACCCGGTTGCGCGTCCACCTGCGCGTCTTGTGGATTTGCCATGGGTACTCGTCCACGAACTTCCATCAACTCCCGCGAGATGTCGTCTTCAGACTCGCACGTCGAAATTCCTATTCCCAGCTCGCCGTTGGTGCCATCATTCTCAAAACAGATCATCGTCACGAGGTATCCTAGGCTGATTAACGGCGCGTCTGCGCAGTGAGACTTCCCTCTAGACGTTCCGACGATGAATCCACCGGTATGGGCATGATTAATACTCAGCGCAACGACTAAATGATGTTACGTACTTGACCCACCTACTTAGCGCGTTACGCTAAGTATATAGACGCGCAAACTGAGTATAACCATGTTCAAATGTTGGAATATGAGCCAAGCTGCTGAGGAAGACACTACAGCGAGTGCGGGAGTAGGTGCTACCCGCAGGACCATTCCAACCTTCGTCAAATTCAGGTTGCGCTGCACACCGAGAGTGTCAAATAAGAAATGGAACAATGACACAACAAAACAGAATGCAGGCAAGAAGTAAGTCCGAGTATGGGCCAATCCGGGTAAAAAGAAGTAAATCCGACAAAGCAACGGCGAAAGCCGCGCGTGTAACTACAGCCGGTGTTACTGGCTACAGGTGCCTGACATAAGCGTCTACAGACAAGGTAGTAAGAACGTGTCTGCGAATCGCGCGTCAGGTGAGTCTAAATCCAGGAAGAAAATGCACTCAAGGAACATGCTCACGACGCACCACAGTTGGTCGCAGTTACACTAGCTGGCCAGGCAAGTTAAACATACGAACAAGATGGTAACAACTGTGAATACTAGCCCTAAGCGCAACGATTGAGCCAAGCTACTACGGGCAAAAAGTATCTGTGAAGCACGGTTGGCGCGCTAAGCGCGATATCTCGTCGAACGACGATGGAACTCAAAAATACGACGATGCCAACATAGGTGGTAAAGGAGTACTTCACTTGCCGAAGATGTAATCAAGTAGACTTGGCATGAGGACAAGGTGCAGATGGAGCGCACAACAAGAGCAAAGGCGCGACACTACTAAGAGTACTCACGCGCAAGAAAGAGCCTGTAGATGGAATAGGCAATGAGAAAAAAGTCTACACTGCGCCAACAGAGGATGACATACCACCAAGGCGCGCTTACAGGATGTAACACGACAAATACCGGAATTGACGCGCAGTACAAGGGATCTTCAAAAATGCGCAAATCGTGCTAGCGCACGGACAGTGTACTGAACGCGCGTAAAGGAAAAACGAATTTAAGTCAAAGCCGGGTAAATGATAGTCTTGCAGGTAGCCATGAATGAAACAAAAACAAAAAAATTACAACTACGCGGAGCACTTACAGGAACAACTGCAGGGATACAGAATGGCACAAAGGAAAACGTGCGTGCAGAAAGTTACTGCAATGAGCATAAGGATGGTGATAAGCTCACGGCTCGCGAAGTTGCAAGAAAAACAAAAGTACTGACTCGGCTGGGGACACAGGCTGCAATGCGGTAGGCAATAGCAACTGTAAAGGTGGAACAAGTGCGCTATACACCAAGGATAGATTACTTAGCGAGAAGTACAGATCTACTGCTTAACCGACGCTCTAAGGCCGAAGAAGACGAAGTTTGCGCGAAACGAGCAGTTGGGTCGCGCGTTCACCAAATTTACAAACGTAAAAAGGGGCTATGGTTGCTTATTGCGTGCACAACAACAAACAAAACATAGGAGATAAGGGGACAAGCGCGAGGGATCTGATGGTCGATCAATATGCACAAGAAGGTGGGGTACACACCGCCTAAAGTGCGCGCTGAACAACAATCGTTTCAGGACCCAACTGGAAAAAAGTGGGGAAATAAAGGACAAAAATTACAAGAAGAAAGGCATTCCGCCGCAGAAACACAACATCTGGCCTGATGGTAAAAAAAGAGCGTAAAGCTCGACAACGGCCTGGCACCAGACAAATCAGAACAAAGGAAAAAGGGAAACAAAGGCTCGGTACCTGGATGGAAAACGGTAAGGAATTCTGCCTGTTTCCAATGGCTCTCTGTCATACTATCCGTCGTGTGACCAACGACATCGAAGATGGATCATGCCTAAACGAAGCGCGGCGCGCTAGGGGGCAACACTCACACCCATCGGTAACCTAAAGAAAATACATATAATTATAAATAGAAAAACACAGAACACACTCCCTACTACCCATGCCAACGAATCACCCTACTAGACCCTTTCAACTTACCCAACCTACTCCACCGCAGAAGGAAAAACAAAAAAAAGAAGCGTAGTACGTAACCGTGGGAGTAACCAAAGGACGTAAGGCAAACAGAGCATGAATAACGACAGAGTGTCACTGAAGAGCCTGCGCGGCACTAAGTGGCGCGCGTATAACAAGGTACGGGAAAGGTTATCCTGTCGGAGGCCGGTCTGGAAACTGCTCAGGGCTCCTGTCGGCGAACGGAGAGGCCATCAATAATGACCCATGGGCACTTGGACCATATCCTGCTAAAAACCGTGCTTCGTGCCAATTGCCGTCTTTCATCGTCATCCTGCTGATGGTACCTTCCAGCGTCTTGCACGGCAATCCTATCCTTTTAGCACGGCTGCTCTCCGCTTTGTACTAGGGGTGGTGGGCGAACTAAAGGGGCGCGGCCTCGAGGGCCCAAGTGCGCTTACTGCACCAACGAGACTCACCTTACGGTGCCCCATGTAGCACTACGCCGGGGACATAGGTCACTACAGGTCACAATTGGGCCAATCTTGTACTACGGACTAAACTACTAAACTAAACTACGGACTACAGGAGGTTAGACTACGGGGACAAGACTAATACCGGTTGTAGGGAAAACTAAACTACAGTAGAGCGAAGAAAAGAAGTGGTGTGAAAGAAAAACTAACAGGATACGGATCCAGGAACCCCTAGTACCAATCCAAACCCATACCCAACCCAAACTCAAATCTACCTAGAAAACAGAAAAATACAAAAGACATAGAACACAAAATACTAACTATAAAACCCCAGCTTACATAAAGGAACCCGAATCCCGTCTCCCCGGCTATGGTCCAAGCTCCTATATGTGAATATAGGACGTTGTCGATCCCCAGCTGCGGTTCTTCGCGCGTCTCGATACAGCTCCACCTTCGCGCGTCCACCGATACGGCTCTACGCAGCTCCATACCCCTCTCTCGTGTCATTCCTCCTGTCCATCGCTCGTCCTTCGCCTTCGAACTAGCGCGTACAACGATACAGTACTGAAACGCGTTCGACGATACAACACTGGTACACGTACGACGATACGATACTAAAGCGTGTTCAACGATACAATACTATATACGCGTGCAACGATACAGCTCTAAATCGCGCTCCCTAACTTCCATCCATCCGTCTTCCAACTGTCCATCTCCATGCCATCTTCCCTCTCGAACAACAATCCGACGTCAAAACTCTCCTGGCGCGTACTCCGGTACAGCTCTCTCGCGTACTCCGATACAATCCTAAAATGCGCGTACAACGATACAACTCTTCTTCGCGCCTCCACGATCTGGTCTTCTGCGCGCAGCGTGCTCGACGATACAACACTAAATGCACGTACAACGATACAACTCAGGCGCGCTCGCGATCGTCCTATCCTCCATCTCATCTTCATCCTCCTTCCGTCGGCATCCATCATCCATCGATCGTACTCCATCAAGGCGTCCATCTGTCAACTCTTCCTATCCTGCTTCCCCCAGTCCTTCGTCCAAATCCCAAAGACTCGACTTGTGCGGCCGCTGGTACTCTCCGGTACCCCCTATCGAGCCCGCCGACTACGACACCGGCCCTCCACCTGGGCAGTACTTTCCAAGCGACAGGCTTACCAGGTATCGCATGACGTGGGCGCTTGGCCAATTGGGGTTCTAGTTGGCAAGTTGCCACAGTCTTCCCGACTATCCCCCCGCGCTGGCACGTCATGCTTCGCACCCTGGCTACCTTCCGGCACTCTTGTTACTGGCTACGTAGGTATTCAGCTCTGCCTCTCTGTTTGCCAGGACTTCCTACTGGGGCGCTGAGCGTGGTAGCTTCGGGCTCGTTACGCACGCATGATGGATGGGATAGCGCGTTCCTTCAACAACGCAACAACGACACAACATACCGATGGCACACAACCTGCTACAACTTGCGCGACTAACCCATCCGCGGGCGGCGACGCCATCCACCATGCGCTCGGCATCGATGCACCATGTTGCGGCTCGGTGGGCTCTGCGCACCCTCACCTAGTGCTCGACTGCCATGCGTCCAGCTCCTGTCCCCGAAAAACTTCCGCCACTGCGGGTGCGCGCCAGCTCACAATGGCGCGTTACGCCTACACTGCACGAAACAATAAAAAATACATAAATTTACTAAATAAATATACACAAAAATATACGATATAAACAAATATAAATATACTTACCCACGGGGAGAGTTAAGCTCTACCCCGGGCTACCGATGGGGACTCTAACTCACTCACACTCACACACTAGCACACTCACACACTCTCCCGGAATCCAAGGGAGCTACCCACAGGCCGGCCGCGCGCCGCCAAGGCAGCAGCTACGGCACGGCAACACCGACCCCATGATGTTAACCAACAGCATCGAACAAAGCTCCCAACAAATCCTGCGCGACCGAGGCGCTTCGTGATGTTCATCATCCTGGAATTCTATCCTCGCGCGTACATCCAAACAATCCATCAACGATCCATCCAATCGCGCGAGGCACGGGGACGTAGACACGACGGCGATATCGTGGAGACCCAACCAATCAATAATAACGGCGGCACGACGATAATAGTAAGATGGTAAGACGAGAGAAGAGCCGCACTGGCGCGCGTACGCGCTATTTATAGCGGTGGCTGGGGGCGTGCCTACATGGTGTGGTCTCGGAGCGAACAAGGTAGCCGCCGTAAAGCGCGGCGACCGTGCTCACGACCGAGACGCGCGGCAACACGGTGCTCCCGGCCACATGCTGTGAGGAGCGGTCGATCGCGAGCCGCGACAACAATAGTTTATGAACAAACACAGACTAAGAAATTGCTCTGAAAAGCCTTGCGGAAAAAATATATGACGACAATTTATCTTCTGAATAAAATTTTCGTCTTAAATTATCCTCCACGTAAATTATCCTCTCACGTATCAGTCGAACAACTTGGTTACAGAAGCGGTTCAGAATCTTTTTGGACGAAGAAAGCTTATTCCGTATTGTGAAGCTGATGCTTACCAGGAGCAAAACGATAAGATGATTTCGAATGTGACCGTCTTCCTACGTTTGTTTCTGATCTACCAGGATCAGAATTAAACTTTGTTATTTTTGCAGTCCTTTTGGAAGCTTCTTGCCGTTCAATGAAATTATGGAACTGCTGAGAAGTCGTGAAGTAATGTTTGAAAGATCTATTTGTTTACTCTGGATCTCTAAATCTCAAGCAAGTGAATGTGGTGGCCTTAGTGTACTATTTCTGGAGCAGCTTTGAGTAAACTATTGCACACGCAGGTTTCGTGAATAATTCCAGCAATCACTGTTGTTTGGGTTCGCCGATGCGTCGCTCAGGTTGCACCCCGCTGGCAAACTCCCAGATTTTTGGTTCTAGTTACCTCACCCCGCCTGAGTTAGCCCAAAGACTCATGACTTCTTCGTAGTGTTTGAAGGCATTCTTCTGGTACTTGTGTTCGGCTATAAAGCACTACAGTACCCCACAAATTTCTCTATATCCATAAAAGCCTCATAAGCTGCATTTGAAGTGCTCTTTGGGTATGACTCCATGCATATTCTACAAGAATCCTCCTGCAAGTCTTGTTGTCTCCCAGTGTGATCGCTAATTAAGCCCGATTCTGGATTAGCGCTGCTCAGCGCCCATAAGGCCCTCACCCAATCATTGTCCTCATCGGCTTACTTCTTTTTCGTATCCTAGTGCTTTGTTCTTACGAATAATGCTGGTCGCAGACCTCTTCTACTTCTGAGGACTTGCATGGTTAGAAACGACTTTTTTTACTGGAGTATCCTTCTTGATAGAAAATCTCAGTAATATAGGTGTAGGACAACATTCTGAATGGCGCCATACAAAACTGGGACCGTTCCAATTCTCTTGACTCAAACCAGCTTCCAATTACTTGACAGCCGTCATCTGCTTCTCATCAGTCATTCTCATAACCATGCGCTCTTTACAATGCTCTGCTTATGTACGTGTTCGGCTTGCGTGGGTGGCGCAGCTTCCTCAATTAGCAAATCGAGTTCTGGTGTCGGTCATTAGAAGCTGCGGACCACCCCGCTCGCGGTCATTTCGCTTCATTCAAGCGTTGAAATTGAAAGATGCCCCGGTTATAATGAGGATCAAATGGTTGGGGAAGGAAGTGGTTCGGCTGTCGCTAAGTGAAATAATGGGGTGGATAGTTCTAATCATCAAACTCGAATGAAAGGAAGCTCAGTTGTGATGTTGTACCTGCTTTCAGCCTATTTTCTGAGGACTAATTTGTCATTTCTATGTAAACCTCAAACTTCAGTTTCAACTCTGGTTCAAATAATGCGAGACCCTTATGTCTTGAAAACTCCTTTCCTTTCGCTCCTTTCCGAAAAGATTCGGCCATGGTCAAAGGAAAATCTCAGATAATCCTCCACCTGTTTTGTAACAGTGTAGTCTAAGCAAATCTTGTCAAGCCATCCATACATAAAGAACACTTCACAAGCATGGTTGTCGCCTTTAACGAACTCGTTTTTACACTCGTTTCTTCCTTAAGACCACCAAAGCAAATTGCATCGGCTGGCTAAAGCTGACAGAACGGTAATTGCATGTGGAGTGGTTTTGTGGGCAGAAAATCAGCTTGGCTTCATTAGACGGCTGGTGGGTTTTTTCGTACCCACTTGTTGTCCGTTGAAGACTAACGGCATCTGCCGTAGAATTTTTTGTCTCTACTACAGCTTTAGACAAGACCATTCTTCTCCTTTTCTTTAAGGAGTTTCTTCAGAAATCTTGACTTTATTCCCAAAACGAACGCAGTCCATTCAAAGTGCTTTCAGTTAGTGAACTAGTTTTCATTTCACTACGCTTCACCCCCTTCACTGAGGGGCGGCAATTTGAGGGGCCAATGCTGCCTAATTATGCGTTCGAGAACTGACCACTCCTAACGAATGATCCTTGTCGCTGCTGCTGTAATTAAGGATTAGCTGTGGCTAACATTATTGCTTGAAATTTAGAGTTTTGAGGGAATTGGGTCAAATTTCATTGCATTTGAATTCCTTAACCGGTTCACTGTGACCATTGCTGAGATAGTAAAGAGGCACTGAACCTCGGCTGAGCTCCCCAAGGTTCCACATTCCCGCTCTTGAAATCTTGAAATTACCTCTCATTTTCTTGACCCTAAGTGTTTCGTAGTGAAAAATTAGTATTCGGCAAAAGACTGTGGAATCACTTCTTTTTGAATAAAGTCAAAAATTCTTTTCGAAATCAGTCTTTGCTTTCTGTAAGATTCGCCTAGTTACATTTTTTCTCGCCTCTCATAACTCTATCCATTGCCTCAGTTGCCGATGCAACCGTCACTTGGTTTTCCATGGCGGCCATAATTATGATGTGCTTATAAGCACATCATAATGCAGTGAGAGTCATTAGACGATTAGTTATTAAGTGCGGCCGTTCGATTTCCTTTGAAAGGATTACCATAATGGCCGTTTTCCTTGGCGCTCCACCTGTGTAACTTATCGCTATAGCTGACTGACTTCTTAGCTACTATGTTATAGTACTTCTACTATGATCATGTTATTTGTGTTATCTAGCATTAGGGAATGCGAGAGCGTGATCAACTCAATAAACCTCTATTCAGATAAATTTTTTTGTGCCCCCTCCCGAACAGCAATTTTTGAAACTGCTGAGTCTGGAAGGTTTGTGAAACCACATTTCCCGCTATCCATGTCGTACTCTACTATTTTCATATTTCGCGCACCAGTGGTCTAGCAAATGCTAGTGTACACTGGGCACATTTGCATGGTTTCGCGCGCTCCATTCACGCCTTTCACCCGGGGAAAACCGGCAACTCGACTCGTGTTTAATCATAGGTCTTGTAGCACCTGCTAGCTCATCCTGACTACGGTCGTGACCTTGCCATAAGTCCCTATGTAAAAGTTTTGCAAAAGATTCTTGCTACGATTAGCCAGAATCTGTACGCAAGAGCTTAGGCTGTCAGCCTATGCTGATCTGTTTGTACGACGTTATGGCGCACAAACGCCGCATACCGCCGATCGGCTTAACAATCTGTGGATTAAACACTTTAGCCATAGCAAAGAATAATAATGGGACAACCTGGTCAACAAAAAAGTTGCGAGGAATCAGAGGTGCTGGTTTGTCCAGTTTCTGCTTGAAATCAAAGTCCAGAAGAAGTTATCGAATTGTTCACGCTGTTTGGGCAGACATCAGTGATGCTATTCGGCGCCTGTAATTATTTTTCACATCCTCAAGCTTCCACTGGTTTGAATAATCTTGCAAGTAAGAGTTACTGTAGATTTCCTAGTCTGCTGAAACTTATGCGTGCCTTTTCGGAAATCAATAAACGTAACTTTTCTGGGTGATTCCAGACCTTTCTCAGCCACGCAATCTAAAGAATTTCTTGAGGCTGATCTAAGATTTTATATAATTTAAGGAAAACATTTTGCATATTCTCGAATTAAATGTGGCAATTGAGTATGAATTTTCGTAGTTCTGAGGTTGCATAACCATTCAAAAGACTTAAATTCCTAGATATAAAAATTCGAATTCACTCTCAAATCCTAATTTGAAACATTTGTGGAAAACAAGAGGCGAGCACTTCCAAAAATGGATCACGATCGAAAAACCCGTGTCTAGGCACAAACGGAAGGAATCTCTTTATTCCAACACGCAGTCTCATAAATCACTCTCTAATTGACAGCCTGGAAAATTACGCAATTCTCCTTCCTCCCTAACACATCCT